ATTATGCCAGTATATATTCTCCATAAGCCATGCTCTTCTCTATCGGCGCTGAAGAAATGCACGCGACGGCATAATCTCGGGCAGTCTTTTTTACTTATTTTTATTTGCAGAATAGCTCGTGCAAAAAAAAAAAACGGCTTTTACGTTTTTACACGTCCCTACATAGGTACCTCGCTTTCCCATTGGCTTCATTGCGCGTGACGATTCAACGCCATTTGCCATGGAAACGTTCGTGAAACTAGAAAGCCTCTGTTTGCCGCTAACAGTCATTTTTCGAGTTCGGGTTGTGACGACAAAATGACGTAAGAACAAGAATGCACTGGATTATTTGCATTGTTTTAACTCGACAACCGTACCCTTGGCGAGTTAAACTCGAAAGTACATGGCCGCGATGCTCGTCGGATCGACCGCAGCTGGGGTTTGACATGCGATCGGTCACTTGATCAACGTGCACACGAATACTTTCGTGCTGTTGGATGAGCCCATTCGGCGGCAGGTCCGGGTCGAAGAGCACAGTGAGCTGGCGTTTAACGTCTCCGATGTAACGCTTGGCGAGATGCAAGACTTGGCTTCTATTTGCGCTGGTGTTATGAAGCTTGAAAGTGGTGGTGTTGTTGTGGCTCGTACGGCAGCGTTGCTGAGATTATGATTATGATCACGGTAATAGACCTTTATTCAGCGTTGCCGTTTATTAAGATTCAAAACCTCACCTTGACACAAAGGGAACCACGTTTCCGCGAGCACGGAGGCAGCAGCCAACGGTCTGAGAAAGACTTTTGCCGCCGCCACGACCGCCAGCGATCGCCCCAATGGCAAGAAAACAAACGACAAGCTCATTGAGGTTTGTGTAGTGCTGACTACTGATTCATCGGACGACAAAGGTGAATGATGTAAAACGCAACGTAAGTTTGCCAGCGTTTTGCAAAACAAATTCGTTTCGTTGAAAATTTAATTTGTGGAATTCGTTAACGCCTTGAAAGTTTGACGGGGACTGCATTGTCAACGCAGGCTTCACACAAGTGTTTTCTACAGTGTGTGCTTTGGCTGCATGCATATAAAGACGAAAACACTGCCTATATGGTGCATAAAATAAAATAAATTTCGTTTATCTTGGTAATGTTGACTATCTATTGAGTGCTGTTGATAGTATGGCGTAGCCAGGAACTTCTAAGGGGGTGAGGATGGAGCGGGGTTGAGGTGGCTGGGATGTTTATGACTTGGGGTGCGGGGGTGATGGTGTCGGAATTTGTGTGTATATTCTAGGGCCCGCCGGATTTGGGGAGGGAAGGAGCGAAGCCCCATAAACCCCCCCCCCCCCATCGCCCCCCCCCCCCTCTGGCTTTGCCACATAAGGGGAGCATCCTACATTCACAGGCTGCTATAAGCATGTGCATAGCCACTGAGCTCGTACCACAATGGCAAGATAGTTGCTGACATTCTTCACGTTACGTAGCAGTTCTTTCTTTAGTGCATATGCTCGCTTTTCCTTCACACATCTACTCTGCCTCCGCTTGTTGTTTACACTTGATGGTGATAAGCCAACAGTGCGTATTTGCTCTGCACAGGCAAATTTCAAAAATCCAGCTCACACTATACTCTTTAATTTCAATGAGTTACTGTCACTTTTGAAACGACAATCTATTTAATTGCTATAATAACCTTTACATTTAACACACGTGTGTTGAATGTAGGACAATTCTATTTTTATTGTTTTTCTTGGTCACGAAGATGACAACCATCCACAAGACACTGGCTAAATTTATCGTCTACAGTGGGTAACAATGTTACCATACTCTGTCAGACTAAACTGCTGCTGTCTAGACAAGTAACGATTCATTTTAGGACAGACCTGTTCGTAGTTTATTGCAGGGCATCGAAAAGTGTTCTTATGACTTTCCGATGACTGACTTGCAATTCCAGCAGCTTGGCGTGAAAAGGTAAACTATCTAATTGATACAACAAAATGCCATCAGCAACCCATCCAGATTTTATTGCGTGATTGACAGAGCTACAGACCGCAACAAAGTGTCAACTGAAGACAAAGGTACTAAGCGTGCACTAACTTCAAAGCGGTAGAAACCCTGAAGTTTAAACGTCAACTTACCACCATGTTGTTAATGGCAAAATGGTGTTTGCGGCAAAGTGTTGGAGTCCTTCAGAATGGTGACGGTCTCCTTCAGACCGATGATGACGGTGACGTAGGTTTAGTTAGAGTCTAAGTTTAGTCAACGCACCCGACGACGTCGGTGTGCTTGTCATGGTGGCGACGAAAGCCTTCTTTCGCACATGCCTCAGCTGCCTCGGTCCGTGGTTTTGTCGACCCAACCGTCTCTTCCCAGCCGGTTGACAGCGATACTCACGATGGCCGTCACGGCTCTGATCACCATCCACTGGGCATTAGCTATGTGATCATCGGGGGCAACCGCGCCCTTGTAGTTCCCCGTTGCGAAAAATCTCAGTGCGATTCAATTAGTAGCTGCTGCTCGACGGTCATCATCTCTCATCGTCGCCGTCTCTCGTTGTCACACGGCGATCACACGGTGCTTTTCGACAAGCGGTATTGTCGTCAGAAACAGTCGTCGTGCATCGCGAAGGCAACCGGGTGCTCGCGGAAAACCCGTCATTGTACGCGTTGGTCGAGCCATCGTTGAGCAACAAGCATCGCCGCCATTTTCTACGCTCTAGAATCCTGCCCAAAGCTTGTTACCCTTCGTGCAATAGAAAGAGAAGTTAAAAGCACGAGCGCATCATCCCGAACGATCTTGCACGAACGTTGGCTTGCACTGCGCAAGCGCGCCTGCTCGACAGGGACGTTGAAAGCCCGGAGCACGTTCTTGTAGCTCCTACACCCGCACTAGCTCGCACTCATAGTGAAACAGAGAGTAGGGTGTGTCGAGTAATACCGCAGTTAATCTAGTGACGCGACTTCCGCTATGTGCTACGTAGGTCGGACGTGGTCATACGTCACTTTGTCGTCACGGTCCGAACTCGAAGAGCGACAGTTACGGGAAACGGTTGCTTTCGTGTTTCGCGAACGTTCCCATGGGAACCGCGTGGAATTATCACGCTGGCTGTGGCCAATAGGAACGCGCGGTTCGTAGGGGGGAGGAGTTTTCGAGAAACACGAACGTGACCGTTTGTGACCAGAATAGCACCCCTGAAGAGCATTATCTTACACCGCGTCCTGGGCTCAATCCCCATCCCTGCCCATGTCGATCTGGATGAGCTTCGCACCGGTGTGCGGTCGTGTATCACTACTGCGGGGTGCACGTTAAAGACCCCACGCTAGCAGTCGTACTGCACAGGCTAAATTGCTTATCTACAGGTAACAATGTCGCAAAGTTCGGGCAGTTTTTCTTGCTGTATAAACAACTAGCGACCAATTTGTTCGTCAAAATACGGTGTGGAGGGAGAAAGGTGAGAAAGAAATTACACAGTTGTTAGTCTGCGTCATTCATACACATTGCTTTTCTTCTAGCCTCTGTTTTAGTTTAAATCTTATCAAGTGCGTTTTTCTTGCATCTACGCAGCGCAGCAAACCATCCCAATAATTATAAAAGCCTGTTGGTAATGATAAATTGCGTTCCCGGTTGCCGATTGCCGTAAGAACACAATTGTTTCTAGGATTCACTTTGTAGAATTCGTTTGTAGAATTCGCGACGGGGACGACGGTCCATTCACGGCTCCATCGCCTCAAGCCCGGTTCGCCACGCAGTTCATCGTACAGCCATTTTACCACGTCTTTCGAGAGGCGATAGTGTTGTTGAAAATCAACGTCGTCCATGTCAAACACATTGGCGTGGCTTAAATACCTACGCCGACGGCGAAACACGAATACGTTGCCATTTAGGACGCTTCTCCCACATCTCGCGACCAACTCGCCCAAACTCGCCTAGGTCGGATACGGCAAGCTTTTCCTATCCGCGGAGGCTTCTGCCACGTCACAATGACGTCACAGCATGTCGCCACGAGTTCCGAATATGCCATTTTCCCAGCGCCTCAAGACCTCCGTTCTGACGTCACGACCTAGGGAGTGACGGCGCGTGTCGTTATGCATGGTGCCGACCAATCGCGGCTTGCGGCGATTGGTCGGCTCCGCGGTTAGCCCCCTTGTACTCGTTTCATGGGCCCACTTTTTAAGCTCTCTACGTGCGCAGACGCAGCAAGTTCAAAAACATATGAAGAGTGATAAACATATTTATGATGCAAAATCGTCTGCCTACATCCGCTAGAACGTGCTTGCAAATACGAGAAAAGTGAAAAAAAGTAGTAACAATAAACAAGCTCGTCACCGTGATTCCTGCTCATTATGGACGTTGCAAATGGTTTATTAAAACAAATGCAATGCAAGAATACGACGCAATCTAGTTTCTGTTGGGGATAACTATATCGTACAAATGAAAATTTAATTTGCTATGCGCAGTTTAGCAGCACTCGACCTCGAACATCAACAGCGCGGAAATAATTTTATTATATAAAAAAATTATCATACGAAATCATCAACTTTCAAGTGCCTTCTAATATATCGTGAACCGCTATGCACTGGAAACACCAACCAATGGTGTTCGTCGAACCAGTTAAAGTTGTGACAAGATCGGACAGCAACGGTCTTCAGTAGAAAAGTGGCCATGGGGGCCCGAGGGGTGGAAGGATCTTTTCTACCCGGACTGCATGTCGGTTAGGACACTATAACACTTGCCTACCTGATTGACTCAACTGATAAATGAAGTAATACTGCAACTGCATGACGGAGGCCGTATGCACGTACGAGGTCCTGTGAGATAAACCTAACACACATATACCATTCTGCTCCTACCCTAGAGCAAAACACAATAATACTTGATTTGGGGCGTCGCTTAAAAGAGGCAGACATTGGACACGAGCACTGTGTGCGCGTTACATAGACACTTCCCCTTTTTCACTTTTCACGATAAGTTATGAAATTGAAGAATATAAGCGAAACTAGCCACTGTCCAACCAATTTCCAGTGTCACTTATTGTCAGTATCTGCGGCTCTGTGTTACATTCAGCCTATTATGTGGCTTGCCTGAATGATGCGAAGCCGGGCCCTCATTTTTGGCTGTCTGAGTTTTTAATGCTCCGCCAGTCCCTGGTCCCAAGGGTTGAGAGGATTGAAAACTTTGAATGAGTCGTCCAGGAACAACATGTATGCCAGAGGGCTCTAAGGGCGGCGCCTGAGACACGGGCATCTGTGCTGTATCCATCACCTTCATGGTTGACCTCTCTGGTGGAAACGGTCTCGGAGACCCCTGAAGTTGCCGCTGGCTGTCTCCTTTCATTTTTGGCTGAGGACGACCGAAGTGCGCCGTTGGAGAGGCTGTGCCAGTGAGACTCCACAAGGCAAGTGCGCCGCAAGCCGCGAATGCAGCGATGAGGGCGAGCAGCAAGTCTTTGCGTAGCTTCGTTTCAAACTTGGTTAGCAGCGTAGCAGCCATTGTCGACACGTTCCCGAACGCAGCTGAGGTGCAAAAGCCTGTGCATCGAAGCGCTGTCGGAAACAGCTCCACCGTCAATGCGAATAGAACAAAGAAGGCCACTATGGAGAGCAGTTGGACAAAAACCAGCAAAGCACTCGTTATTAATTGCGGCGGCTCTTCGTAAGTCACGATTAGCAGTGACGTTCCAACGCTGAGTAGTGAGAGAACTATCACTAGTACGCTCTCCTTGTCAAATCGATTGAAGGAAAATAAAATAATGGTGAAACAGATGGGCACAAGGACGACAGACGCAATGGCGAACGACTCATGAATCGCGAAGGGGTACATGAAGATATATACGGAGAATGTAAAGTCTACCGCGAGCCAAGCAAAGCAAACGATGGCAGAACGTGTCCTGGTTTTCGGTTCAAGCAGCAGTCGCTGGATGGTGAGAGGATGCAAAGCCTCGTTTTCGCTGGTTGCAAACTTTAAATCGTTTCCCGCTCTTCTGAGAGAGTTGATTGCAGCCTCAGACGAAGCTCTGTTGGTGCTCGCGGCGAGGAGTGTCACTTTCCAGGCTTCTTGAAGCTTTCCGGTGACCAGTAGCCAGCGCGGCGTCTCGAGGATCATATAGAATACACAAACAAGAAACGCCGTGGGTACCATTATAGCTAGGTGAACTTCCACCCAGCTGAGTTGTAACACTGAAAGGAGGAGAAAGAATACGGGCACGATTACCACTGCAACACCAACGCTGCTGAAACAGTACACCGGCCACTTGTGATGTGGGGTCACTTCGTAAAGTACGACAGCTATAACCTTTCCGAGGCCCTCTGAACTTCCCGCCAAAATAAATCGAACTGTCAGAAAAACAGCAAACAAATTGGTTTGCCCACTGGCGAAGCCAGCAAATAAATTAACGACAACGCAAAAGCATGCAACGGGTCTACGGCCGATATGGTCGGCGACTACTCCGGAAATCACACCGCCTAATGCTGCGCCACAGTCGAATGTCAGCGAAGCCAGCGGAACCAACCAGGAGCGGGTGCAGACGAGGCTCCATTCACTTATGATGGTATTGCCGTACTCTTCCAGGTCGAATTCCCACTCGGTACACGGAATGAGTGTGGGCATCGTGGTATTTTCAGGCTTCAGCGGCAAGCTGTACATGCGGCACTGGCTGTGGCGTCCGTCCTCCGTGACTGGGATAGCGACATTTTTCCACTGACTGCTGCTCATGGTGATGTTGTCAGGAGGTCGACACCAGTGGTCCATAACACGAGCGGTCAGCTCAAAGCTAGTAGCATGGCAGAAGTAAGAAATGGCTGCGAGTACGGCGCAGAAAATTACCATTCCCTGGAACCTCCCAACTCCAATCACGATGGTGTCTTCGCTAATTTGTCCTTCAGGCGTTTCAACGGGATTATTAGCTCGATCCATGGCACTTGATTCGAAATTCAGGAAGGAAGATTACCACATTCTACGTCTTTCTTTCGTCATCGTCGTCTACCTTCTTCAGTAAGAGAGCTTGCACCTTTAGGCACACGACAGGATCGGTGGTCGAACGTGCGGAGCACGTGGAGCAAAAGCTCGCGCTGCAAAACCCAGGGATCCTATGTTCTTCAGCGTTTCGATCTTGGGTGCTATCTAGAGCCACTGTACATGGCAGTGTAGCTGCCAGAGTAGCGACACGACGCAAAAATACCAAGATGCACGACGTCAGAAGCGCCGATAGTGATCTCCATTTTGAGCCTGGGAGGTTGCCATGGTAACCGTGCTGCTAGCGACGCCGGGCGACAACTTCTTTAGTCTAGTTTCGTTGATATCTCCCTTCGTTAATTGAAAAGTGGTAAAGCACGCTTTGCATGTAAGCCCACACGTCGGCATCATTTGCTTCGAAGGGCCGCTGGAGGAACGGTGCCTATTTTTTTTGTCAGTACATTCAGTACGGCACGGGCATCTGGAGGAACAGTGCCTGTTTCTTCTGTAAAGTGAGACCATTTGCAGCCAGGGGACTGTTGGTCAACGAAAGCTGCTATAGGTATTAGGCGCACGGACAAAGCGAGTGGTTTTCCGAGCCGCCGGGATGGCGGCCGCTTCGTGTGACGTACGTACCGTCCTTGTAATTTCGCAATTCGCTTCGATGGAACAAAATCTGATTACGCCGGCCACGACAGGGCGATCGCCTCGGGACATGACTGCTGCTCGATTGCCGCATAGTCAGCGATTGTGTGCTGAGCATACTTCATACTTCATCGTACTTCTTCAAGACCCAATCATCCCTTCAAGATGAGATTGTCTCACCGACTGGCGAGGAGCGACGTCAACGACGGTCTCGCTCTCATCTGACGATGAACAGACGACGGGGTTTAACCAAGAAAGACAGCATGGTGGTCTTCAGAGGATTGTTCACGCCATTGAAAGAAATGGACGCCGGATATGAAGTGTTCTTACCGACACGCCAAGTGGTCGTCCGGAAGTTTACCGGCATGCAAAAGGTGCAATATTTTTATCTGGTGTAGCTCAGAAATCCGTGTTAAAGGGGCCATAAAACGATTTTTTATCTTCTTCATCAGCTGTAATCCTCAGCTCAAAAGCGAGCTGAGAAATCACGCGATCGTGACATGCTAGGGACCCGGTCCGATGACCTCAAGCTCCTACCGTGCTTTTTAAGCACACCATAGAACTTGGCATTCGCAAGTGATGATAAGTTCCGTTGCGGATTAGAAGCCAGCCCTGCAGTGTCAGTGCATCAGATGTCAGTGGCGGCACACGACGCATGATCACAAGACGGTATTAGTCAGTCAAAGTTGCCACTCGACCAAACAACACCAACGTGCCAGGAACGTCTGCTGGCAACAGGGAGCAGAGTTACTTTGACTGAACGCCTGACATGATATTGTCGGAGAAAGAACTTGTTATGGAACCGTTTAATAAGAATCAGTGATTATGTAATCAAGAGGAAATGAACATATATGATATACTAACCGAACACGCATCATATTCACACTCCAGCCTTTACGCCTTCAGAGTCAACACATCAAGAATAGTGTTCACTGTATGCGGTAGAGCTTTTGAGGACACTCGCATCTCTGCCCCCCCCCCCCCCCCCCCAATATTAATAAATGGGACAAACCAGACTGGAAGACTCGTTGCATGGGGCTGCACTCCTTTTATCTCTCCTGAACATGTGATGTATCCGAAAACAAACTCCAGTGTTATGAATGTTATTTGTTCATTGATTCCCTCCAAGGGCCTTTGTAGGAATTGCCAAGAGGATAGTTAAAACTATATACACACATGATAATAACATCATAGCACACTGACATTATTGAGCAGAAAACGGGCCCAGCCACAGGAAATGAATATTACACTCGTAAGAAATAATTATGTTTGTAACTTGTTAATTGCAAAGACGAACAAACCTCTTAGCATCTACGTTTAATAGTAAGTGTTGATACATTGTTATATAGCACGACATTTCATATACGTCACTTAAGGAAACGCCAGCCTTTCACTTGGAAAAAAAACACAAAAAAAAGCTGCCAACGAATGCAAACTACTCCAATGAAAGCACGTTACATCGAAGTCTTCAGAACTCCCAATCCGTAAAATCGTCGATTAGTAGAAAAGGTTAAAGATCGCAGGAGCTTTCCCGCTAAAAGTTACTGTGATTATTCGGTGACCCAGGGCTGAAGCAAGCTCCCCTAGGCCCTAAACTCGGCTTATACTTTTCGTTTCGATTCTCAGATATTCCGAATTTCAAAGGAAGCTAGACAAATGCGAAAATCTTATCCTAAAAGTGATGCCGTAAAATCTTCGATTAGAACAAAACGTTAAGATCGCAGGAGCTTCCTCGCTAAACGTTGCTGTGATTATGCGGTTACCTGGGGCTGAAGCAACTTCCCCAAAACCCAACATGCGACGCATACAATTAGCATCGATTCTCGGACATTTCAAAGTTCAAACAAAGCTAGGAGTATGCGAAAATTGCATGCTAAAACTCTTATCGATCCTCAAACACATCCGGGAATCCGGGCGCCGCTACGGAGATATGACTGATGCTGTCGCACATGTGCTAATATCCAGAGCGATCTTGAGCAAAAAGAGTACAACGACTCATTCTTCAGATCTTCACGTTATTCCTGCGTCAGAGAGCTTGAAGAAGCCCAGAATTGTCGGCAAGCAGTGGGACATCACGACTCCGCGCACCCAACAAACTCGCGTCCACACGCTCTGGGCGCTGTCATCTTACCGGTGACATCATGGTTCTTGCGAGGTCACGTGACAAGTAGTCACTCAGTTGCTATGAGCACGGTGCCAGCTCGGCTCATTGCCATGGTACCGCGTGTGACCAATCGCGGTGGGAGGGTGCACAGGGAAAAGCGTGGCGCTACTCTAGTGCTGTCCTGGGGTGCTTTCTGGTCGCAAACAAGAAAGTGACTTAACGAGAACGTTGGGGCGGAGCCTCAAATTCGAATGATTATTGTTTGAGGCTCCGCCCCAACGTTCGGGTTCACGCACGCGGTAACCTAGCATCGGACGGTTCCCCTACGTCGCATTGACGTGTCCACGCAGTTGGGGCGCAGAAATCCCCGCATTTTCCCATGTTCTTTTTGTTATCTTCTTTCTTTCCCCCGGGAGCTAGAACGAGCGAATAGCGGAGAAAAGTCTACCTTCCGGAAAATGGAAGGAAACAGAGAAAAATAATATCATCCTTTTATAAAATACAAGAGATTATTTCAATAATTATGAAGTAAGGTAAATTTAAATAACATAACTCAACTTGTTTTCTCGAAGTCTTTCGCTACGGTCTTTCAAAACGAATATGGCGAAAACCGCGGTAACGATCTTGTGGTGTCTCTGCAGCGTCTGCGTCGTTGCTTTCCCTGCTTCTGCACGATACGGATGGCATTACGAGAAGAGAATATCATGTGAAGGTACGCTGCGACACCGATTATCTTTTGTCAAGCCGCCGTCAACATAAGCTGCAAATGAAATCTCCAGTTTGTTTGTGAAGTAGACTCCAAATAAATACAGCGCTGACGACGACTCCGTGGTAATATATGACAAGTCGTGAGATCGACGCAGAGTGCACCTGTTGTGAACATGCTGTGAATGATGCAGGAAAGTTTCTTCGGGCGCTTTTAATAATGCTTTGCTCCCTTTGCTTACTGCAGTGATTACGACGGTAGTCCCCATAAGCCATGCTCTTTTCTTTCGGCGCTGAAGAAATGGACGCGACCGCATAATCTCGGGCAGTCTGTTTTACAAACTTTTTATTTGCAGAAAACTCGTGCAAAAAGAAAAAGAAAACGGCTTCTACGTGTTTACACGTCCCTACATAGGTACCTCGCTATCCCATTGGCGTCATTGCGGGATTACCGGATTAGGGGAGTGGGGGAGGGCAAAGCTCCATAAGCCTGCTTGGCTATGCGTGCTTTTCTTTACGGCCTGTGAATGTACGATGCACCCCCCTATGGTATCGACCAGTGGCCCACCCTAGTGAAAAATCAATTTGTATCAGAAATTTCTTGTGTCCAATAAACACATTTGAATCATACAAGTTATAGAAGATCATATAAGATCCATATAAGACTCTTATAAGAAACTCCTCACAAGCTTTTATATGCCAAAATGAGTTGCTGGGCGAGTTGGATAGACATCTTGACTTAAACAGCGCAGATAAGTTACGTAAGGAAGAGACAACAGCGCTCTTTCCTTCCTGTTGTCTCTTCCTTACGTAACTTATTTGCGCTGTTTAAGTCAAGAAGTTTTTATATGGTTCTTATGTGATTTATTTATCTTACATTTCTCGTATAGAGTTCTTATATGGTTCTTACATGTTCTTATATATCTTGTATGATTCATGTGTTTCTTGGGCACAGAAGTATCTCATACAAATGAGATGTTTCAATACGGTAGCCAGGAGGGAGGAGGCTTATCGGGGTTCGCCAACTTCGCCCCCTCCCCCTCCAGTCCGGCCGGCCCTATTTCAACCCCTCACCCAGCACCCCAACTCTTGAACATCTCAACTCACTCACCACAGGGAAAGTTCCTGCAGCTACGCCACTGGCATCAACAGCACTCAATAGAGATGCAACATTGTCCAGAATAAGCAAACATCCGTTTATTTAGGAAGTCATATAGGCATTTTTACACTGCAAAAAATGTTTGCAATATGTCAGGAAATATGCGGAAATTTTTGATCAAAATGAAGAAACTGCTTTGTTATATTCAAATACAGAAAAGTTTACCGGTTAAAAAACAGGGTATGTGTTATTCGTTAAAAACACAAGTATCTAGAAAATAAGCATACTAAAGGTACTTGCAACGGCACCATGACAGAACAGCACACGACAAAACAGCACGCGACAAAACAGTAAGGTAAAAACAGCACGCGTCAAAACAGCACAGCGTCAAAACAGCACGGCGACAAA